CAGAATGGTTTCTGTGGGCAAACTTCATCCCTGAAAATGCCCATTTTACCTCACATCTTTGGTTTTGGCCAGCTAACTTTTCTTATGCTGGAAATGTAAGATGTATGCTTCATCGTCAAATATATTCCTTTTCCTCCCTGTGCTGTTGCATGCTGTGCATTCACAGCAGATGCTACTTCTCTTCCCCAAAAACACAGGATCAAATTTTGTGTTGTCTGCACAGTCCTCTCTTTATAAATTATCTCTCTTTGGGTGTTTTATACCCTCAGTATGTTTGTCTAACCATGCTCTTGTATTGGGTCTCAGTCAATGAGAAGGCTTCTACACCAATTTTTTTCTTCATTAGCGACTGTGGGAGACTGTCCAAACTAGCTAAGCAGCACCAGTGCAATTCACTCTTTCTTTGACACTAATCGAATCAAGCATGAGATGAGTCTTATAAAATCTGTAGTATCTTGTTTGTTATCACAGGAGGAAAATGTGTTCTGCTTTACATTTTTCTAGTTAAATGCTTTTTTTAAAGAGCTTAATGATCTTTGGAATTTTTTACATTATGAGTTGGAGCTAGGGTTTTTGGGGGGTTTGTGTGCACAGTGCTTCTTTCACTTGTGAGTTAGGAATGATTATTATGTTGGAAATAACTGTATAAGTTGCTTCATCATAATCTGTATAATTGTATTAGAATATGAAGTATGTTTTGCAATGTTTCCATTACTGGAAGCTCCACCTTGCCTGGTGACCCAGGACTGTGGAAATATGAAAGATTTAGTGCGGGCATTTTGAGAGAGCTGAGACTAGTGATTAATCTTGCAGTTAGAGAAAGAACAAAGTAAAATTATTATTTCTGTCATTATTCTTTATGAAAGTAAGAAAAGAGTTATCAAGTGCTATATTAGTTTATTATACAGGGGCTTTCCCTAACCCTTTTAAATTATTCTTCATTATAATATCACCCTTAATTTTATCTGAAGGGTTTAAAGTGCACTGTGAAATGAGAAGTGCTTGTAGTGGGTATCTAGCTAGTAAGTCAGCAGCAAAATCTATGGATATGGGAGAAACCCAGTCCTCAGCTAAGTGATCATCTGTATTACTGAATTTTAGCTACTGGTGTAGAGATTTGCTTAAAAAACCCAAAGAACAAAAAATGCATTCCTTAGTTGTAAAAGCTTGATGTGATGGGTAAGGCTTCTTTTCTATCCTAGAGGCATACCTAATTTAATTTTTCCTTTGGATGAATTTACCTGTCTGCATATTTAAATTCCAAACTGCACAATCTTTTCTGAAGACAGCAGTGGCACAGAGGCCCGATTATTTCATGTGCATGACTGCTACTGTTGGACTTGTGCCATTTATTACAGTAGGTGATTGCCTCAGCATCTTTAAGCATTTCTTTCATAGAGTAAATACAGCCATTTTTAAATGGCTTTGTCAAAGTGCCATCTGTCTCGACAGGTGAAAATGTATAGCTTATTGAAGCTGATGGCAAATCAGGTTAATATTACCCAGAACCATCACTTGCTTGCTTGGATGTTCATAAGGTAATGTCCACTGGATTTGTCGTCTTTGCTTGGAGAGCAGAACAAAGTCAAGAGATTTGTTAAGAGCCTCTTTTTGTAGTGTTTTGAATGCGTAATTTAAGCAAACTTACCTCTTTCAATTTTGTTGGGTTTTATTCTGTCAAACAGTTGAAATGAATATTTTTCGTAATTGTGAGAACAACTTCTATTTGTGTTAAACAGGTTGTTAATAGTCAGAGATCTGCAAACTTCCCTTGGGTCTCTGGGCCCCGTTGCACTGTGTGTTCCTGATCTTCCTAAGATCTGACTGTTACTATCTATGGTTGTGAACTGTACATGATGAAACAACTGCTTGCTTCTGTTTGGGTATCGCTGTAAGTGAACGTTACGATCTCTATTTGCCAAGAACTTTGAAAGACTTTAAGAGATGCTCTATGAGCACATGTTATTGCCTTCAGAAAAGCCTCTAGCACCTGCTTAAACTGAACTTTTGCAGGAGGTACTAAACTTAACGCCACTCTGACCGACTCTGATATGCAGATTTTTACCGTAAAATGTCCCTGTGTACACTGCCCTTACAAAAATTTCAGTGACTGTCATTGCCATTTTCTGCTGAAGTTTGTTCTGGAGGCTTACAGAGACGTTTTTGGAAATCCTCTTGGGGCCATTAAAAGATGATGCTCCTTGGGGTGGGAAGAACATACTGGAAGTTGTGTTTAGTAAACCTGTATGCTTCCCAGATATTTATTTAAAGACTATAAGAGTTAGTTCAGTCTGCTCTTACCTATACATCAGTCGTTCTGAAGAAAATTCATATGCATCTCATCCTTTTAAATAGTTGGGATGACCTCCCTGTAAGTTGAGAAACATTGATCTTGTGATTTCAGCTGCCCCTTAAATGCCTTGTGTTGGCATTTGCATCCAATGTCCGTGTTTGTTGGTATTGAGAACTGTTTATTACTGGGTTTATACAGTTTTAACTTCCGCCTGTCATCATTTCACAGGTAGCTACATTTCCAGGGTTTTTCTTTTTTAATGTGTGTATACATACATATATAAAAAATAATGCAATATAATATAATTCAATATGAAGCTTTTAAATACTTTCTGTATTTAATCTCTGATGAAGTAATAAAACTGCGTAACTACAGCTTTCTCTAACATAAAAAGCGGTGAGTGAATCTGCTGCAAATGGGCAAGCCTTATTTTTTGTGCTTTGAAAAACTTGGAGAACATCCTAGTTCACTTAAGGTCTCCAAATGTGCTCAACTTCCCTGTCATCTCAAGTTCATCAACATGAAAATACTATAATTTCATCAATTAAATGGACAGACAGCTGATAATGCTGGTGATGATTTTTCCAGGGTAGGTTTTTTTTTTTAATAGGACTGTTCTAGCAACGTTTTGTTCCACAGAATTTTTATAAGTCTGACGTATGTCCAGCTAGGCATCTAATACTTTTTGGTTGTTAATAAATTTTTTAGATCTAAAAAAAAAAATTTTTTTTTAAAATTGTGCATTCTTCTGCACCATTCTTGCTTTTCAGACTGTTTTCTGATGTTTTTGCAGTTTATTCTTATTATGCACTGCCCACATAATACACTTGTGTGTTAGAGACTACCTATGTGTGAAAGACACATTCGCAGTTGAATTTTGCATCTTTAAGAATCAGCGATTACAGAAATCTTCAATGCACCGCTTTTCTGCTTGCCTTGGGGACATTATCAGATGCTGTGAGACTTGAGGCTGCTTACATTACTTTGTGTACATAACTATGGTGTTTTACTTCTCTGTGCCAGTGGTAATAAATACCACACAGTGAATGCAAATGGTTTTATTTGATTAAGCTGATGTATTTGCAACTGATGCCAGTCTTTGGAGCGTGGCTTTGTTTTGGGAGCAGCAAGAGGTGTTCCAGTTGCGGTGTTTTCAGTGTTTGCTGCCCCAGTTGAGTCCCTCTCAACTTAAAATCGGGCAAAATATTTTTAGTGCTCTGTGTGCTGTCTCCATATTTCAAGGCCTGGACTAGACTGAAATAGCAACCTTCATATTTTCACTCCTCTTCACAGACAAATAAGGACATTCTGTTAGCATCTCCCCCCTCTGAGCAGTTTACACGCGCACGCGCTGCCCAGCGTGCTCCTTCGCCGTGCCTCCAGCTGGAGGTGTGGGGGGATCTCCAGAATTTCTGTGGGTAGAAGAAAAGTTCCAAATCGGGCAGCTCCGGCTGAGTCAGAGGCAGAGCTGTGCTGCGCCGGAGGCTGTTGATACCTTCCCATCCTGAGGTGGCAAAACACTTGGAAGAAGGAGGGTGGAAGATGAGGACGGTCATGCCCTTTCAGTGTCTTTTCATCCTTTTAGGTTGGCAGCAATAAATTCTGCTTTAATACTGGAGGGAATTTCCAGTACAACATAAAACTTCTTTCAGTCAGATTGATTTCTTTCTTAAATTGCAAGCTCACATTTTTTCTGGTTATTCTACAAGAGTTTGCGTAAATCTGTGGGGTAAATGTGGGGTAAATGGAGCAATTGTAGGGATGCATCATTGTTTCTGCAATATGGGGAGTAGGGATGCAGTCACCTATTCTACGTTAGTGTTACGTTTGAGATATAGATTGCTGTAACAAGGTATGTTTTTCTTGGCCATAAAACAGTGATTAAAGACCTGTCTATAACAAGTTGAGTACAGAAAAAGAAAAATTGCTCAAGTCTTCTGAGGATCTTGTTTGTCATCTTAATCTCATACATCCTTTTAAAAAAAGGAAATGTTCTCTCTGCTGTATTTTAGGCTGGCCCTTTCCCAGAGACGCTACATAGGAACTTGGTTAATGTGTGGCAGTGAGGGGGAAGGGGAATGTCTTATCAAGGTCTTTCTCTTGCAGATGGTGTGTATTCTGGTTCCCATAAGCATCACGTAATTCTCATCCAACTGGTATTACTATAGAAAGAACCTGCCTCGTTAACCACCATTAAACAGTGTTTGGTAAACTAGCTCTGAAGGGTGTTTTGAAGTGTTGTTACCTGGAACTGAGCCTCAACTTTTATTTTTAATTGCTTTTTTTGAGGTGTGGGCAGGAATGATCAGGGTTAACGAGAAAAAAATTTCCTTCTCTAATATTACTTTCTGAACTGTCCTGGGCACCTGGTACACATCAGGCTCAGTTAACATTAATTAGCTGTGAATCATGGAGCCCATTCCACTTTTTCTGTCTCCTTGGTACTTCATGTGTTCTCTTGAGCATCTGCTCTTGCATACAGTTAGGAAGTGCTGCTCTGGGGAGCACTGCATGCATCTTCTCCAAAGACTTTCATTATATCTACTAAGTCTGTATAGTAGCAAAAAGTAACAGCATACTGAAATAAGACATTCTAAGGGCAAATTTGTTAAGGTTTGTATTATGGCAATCATTGATTTAATAATCTAAAATAATACTTAGAACTTGTTACTTTTTTTAACTTCATATTTTTTCTTGTGGCTTTCAGCTCAGATCGACTGATAGAAGAAACAATAAGGTAGGAATGAACTTACTAATTTCATTATTTTCTGTACAATCAGTGTTTATATCGAATTGTGTCCAAAGATATCGGTCATTTTATTTATACAATAACTGCATTGTTTACAACTCATAGGCAGCATTACAATGAAATGGTGCTGGCTTGGTTTTTTTTCCCCTATTCAATATTGACATAATAGTGTTGCTTAACTATTTTATTAATTCTAATTTAGAAAATTTGGGTTTCTGTTGAAAGGTGAATAGCCCGTACAATAACAAAGGGAATGATAGAGCAGAGTGAATCTCAGGTGGAGCTGTTGAGGGCTATTCCAGTAGTCAAGCTGTTTCTTCTCATAGTGACACTCTTCTACAACATGATTTTGTAGATGTTGTAGATTGTACAACACATCATTCAATGTGTTCAGCACCCTAGTATGCAGCTGATACAGGTAAGGGCTTTTACCACAAGGGTTTGAGAGGTTATTGCTGTTGTATAGTTATTTATCTTTTGGGTTTTTATGTGGTTCAAATACTTGAATGATACCTTCTCAAACTGATCTAGAAATTTTAGAATTGTAGCATGATAAATTACTTTTATCATCTGTGCCCTTCCCAATCTTCCATTGAACTCTGGGATTTTGCAAACCAATAATTCAGAGTGCCTGACTTAATGGTTTTAAATTTTAGATTATTGCTTTTAAAAAAAAAAAAAAAAGGAAGAAAGCAAGCAAGATAGGCTTTCAGATAATGCATGTACTGGCATAAGTGATCAAGAAGAGTAATTAGAGGTGCAGGAAGGCTCTATGTCCATTAAGGGCTGGCTAGCTTAAGTACATACACTGGGCTCAGTATAATTAACGTGGTGGAAGAATGTGTTAAACCACATTAATGTGCAGTGATGAACCAGAATTGGTCAGTATAATGATGTCTGAAAATGTGGGTATAATCTCACCACAGCCTCATAAAGATATTTGCCAAACTTAGCACAGTTACTGTTAATTTGTTTTACTTTGGGTTCTAGTCCTTTCCTGATTAAAAGTCCTCTCGTTTATTGCCATGCTTGTAGACCTACTCTTCTGTCTCATAAAAATGCTCATCATTTGTTGAATCTCTTATTTGCTGCCACTCCAGTAACTAGAGCACTAAACAGCATATGGTGATTTATTAAGCTTAATATCCTGTAAAATGACTTGTATTTTATCATTTGAGCTCTTTGCCCAGCCTCTTGATTATGTGTCATCAGCGAAGCTGAGAGTATGTCTATGTGTGATAAGTGAAGCTCTGTGTCGATGTGCCTGTGCGAGGGAACATAACTGTGGCAGACCGGAGCTCAGAACTGGGCAACTACTTGAATATTCACCCAGGTTCCTCCATGGGTTTTGAGCACACTCAGAGGCTCCATGATGTCATCAGTAGGTGCCCTGGCTGGTTTAAAACTGCTTTGAGTTTCATTTGCATGAGCTGCAGTCCCATGCTTGACTACAAATGGGCTGTCTCCACAGTGACCGCTTCTTACACAATAATCCCTACCCCACGGCTTGCTTCAGAACTCCTTGGTGCTGTTTACTGAAACCATTCCTTCTGCTAATAAATTAACTTTGATTTTTTTAAGAGGCTGGATTTCAGTACTCCGTGTTGCACCATTTATTATCTGTAGTAAATGAACTTCTTGTGGTAGTTGTTGCCAAAAATGTTCTACATTTCTTTTTGTAGAAAAAGAGGTTGGCTAGTAACTACATTGACCAGGAAATGTAATTTCATTTATATCAACTTAATTCAATTCTGACTCTGTTGAAACCAGGGTGAATTTTTTGTTTTACTCTTTTTCTTGTCATCCCCAGTAATTGCAAGTATTCAGGTATGATATTGATTTGTGGTAAGCCCTGCTGCATTTTAAGTGATTTTACCAGATAGAAGTTTACCCAACTTCTGACTATCAATTGCTTTATCTATTGTAAACCAAGTAAAGGAGGGAATTGTGCAGGGGAGGATGTTTGAGTGCAGATCGTTGAGTGAAATGTGATATAATTAGCTTAGTCTGGCTACTAATACTGCTCTGTCTTCAAGGTTTACATCTGCTGTAGTTCATTACTCATTATTTGGGTGTAATTCAGGAAGTTAAGAAATCACATTTTATTTTTTTAGGAGTTGTTATTAAGCCATGATTCTAAACACTGGACAGCATTTTTCTGTGCGTGCAGAGAGTTTTGTTGACAAGCTGCATACACCCCATTCCCAGGGACTCTGCAGTTAGCACTAATTGGGAAACCCTTGCTCCAACTTTGTGTAGAGAAGAGACCAAAGAAGTGCGGAGCCTGACTCTTCCTGCGTGTGGTTCCTCCACGGGAGCTGACATATGTGCAAAAGAATTTCTGGGTACCTAAGCTGAAATGATTCAGTAACTGAAGTGATGAGCAGGGCTGTCATTCCAGATGTTTTGTTAGTATTAAACTTTTAATAAGTTTTAAAATTAATTACGTGATGTGAGTTCTTACTGGAACATATTTCTTTCCAGAAAGGAGTGGGATGTGATGCTTTGTACCGCAGTTCTTTTGGAACAGTGCTCACTGCTCTTGGCCGTATTTAAATACAAGCATAGATTTTGCTTAATAAGTTTGGTGTTCTCGGGTTTTAATTTTCAAACTTTATCACTTCTCCAAAAAATCAACGATTTATTTCTTGTTTTCCAACAATTTATATTTTTGGGTTGGCTCAGTTTGAATTTTTTTTATAGTTTTGCACATACAGTGTGACAAGTTCTTAGGATTTTATTGTAATACTGTTTCTGAGGCCTTATTCAAGCTGATTTGGCAGTGTTTGTGTACTAACAGATTGGACTACTCCACTTCCACTCTGAAGCCATACCAAAACCATAGATTTCATTAAAAAAGAAAAATAATCTCCTTATATATTAGGGGTATTTCTTTAGGTAATAATTAGGATTTAATAAAAGGGAAAAATTCACTTGCGTTGAATCTTGACTTTACAAAATGGAAAGGCATGAATTAGGTTTGGAGTCTTAGCTCGTTTCAGTAGAGCCTTGACGGAGTGTCTAGACAAAATCGCTTGCATTTCGGGGGAAACATTCCTTTTGTTTTCATCTTGGGCTTCATCAAAAGATAGAATAATCTTTAAAGTAACTTGAAATACTGTGTGTGTCTACATATGCATATATATACACGTGTATATTTATAGATATGAATATATATGTATATGGTGATATAATAAGAATTTTTACCGATTTAAAACTAGAGCTTCCATTTCTATGCAGAGTCACAGAGGCCATTCCCTTAATCACAGACACTGTCATGAATTTAAATGCACAAGTATGATTCATGGAGTACAAAATGAAGCAGAAGTTCCAGTAATACGTTAATTATTTGGGTTTTTTTTTAAAAAACATGTCCCTTTAGAGCTTTGTTTTAGTTCTTCATCAGTGTAGATTTGACTGAGCTGTCTCAATGGATGAAGCAAGGAGTTGACTTTTTGGTACGTTTCACTTGATAATACACTGTATGTATATGGCTGCTTATGTGAGGTGAAAATACCCGACAGCTTAAAGATTTGTCTAAGTAAAAACATTTTGCTTCCAAGTCAAGCAGCATTAAAAGTATATTTCTGCATGTTAGACTAGTTTGACTGTGATAATGGCTGGAAGTGTTTATTACTCTGTACTTTTTCATGACAGTGAAAACTGCAAACTCTGTACAAATATCGATTGTTTTACATTTGAAGACAAATTTGGTTGCTCGCGTACCCACAGCACTACTGAACATTCAAGGATAAACGTGAAATGTAAATGAAAATTTGAGGAAATACGGCTGCCGGCACAGGAATTTGAGATACTCTTGCTGATTTGTGGAAGAGATGGGTGGGCTCTTTGTGACTCTGACCTTGGGCTTACCTACAAGAGATTTCTGCAGTAGTGCAGCAGTCTTTAATGTTGTACTTCAGCAGTGCTTTAATATTAAATATAGAGACCAAAATACCATCTGGTTTTAGAAACTTGGTTTACGCCCAACTGTAGTAGTTCGAGCCAGTGCAGCACTGAGAATAGTTCATGCTAGTTTCCAAATGAAACGTTAAATCGGGGTCATCTTGATTCCAGTAAGAAGCATTTAATCTGTTATTGTAAATGTCGTGTAGAAGTTTCAAAACATAGGAAAGAGGTATTTTTGATCTGAGGACATAAATGGGGCCCATATTGTGAATGGGAAGAATATGATTAATTTTTTTTTTAAATGCATTTGTCAGTGGAGAAATGGCAACCGTATGTCAGTGAGCATATGTTAGGGGTGGGAAGGAAACCAAAACTGTCTAATGAAGGATATGAGGAAGCTGCGATACTTAGGACTGTACAAGACTAATCAGTGGACTAGTCCCCAGGAGCTGTGTGTTTTCTGGTAGTGCTTAATTTAATAGTCTCATTTACAGATAAAAAGGCTTAGGTAAACCAGCTCATCTTTTGAATCATGAAGAACAGTGCTTTTTACCTGAATTTTGGCTTGTTAATGGTAGCTAGGATCCAGTTAAACTCTTGTTCATGGATAATTACATTTAGATGGACAATTACATTTCATTACTAGACCATATCATATTAAAAGTGCTAATCACTAAAATGATATTTTTCTTCAGAGCTCTTCAGTAAAACCTGAAAAAAATTCGCCCATTGAGCGAATTTTTTTCAAAATACTGGGTAAAAGAAATGAAGAAGGTTCCAATCTTGTAATATGTAAACTTAAACAGTTACATCCTGCCTTTTTGTAAGAAATGGACAGTTTCACTCCTCGGATGTTAAAGCAGGAACCTTGTGCTCCATGATAATCTATAATAATTATTTCCAAAGGCATTTTGGAAGTGTCTCAGGAATACTTTATATCCTGGCAATCATCTTGTACTTTCACTTCTGTAAATTAAGGGATGCCTTAATGAGTCATTGGATGCATCTTATGAAAACATGTGGCTTAATTCAGGAGTGCTTTGAGAAATGCTGTATTAAAACTTCATCTGGACAAGTATCAAGTCAGTGTGGGGGTGTAGGGTAAGAAGCTGTAGGTTACTGAGCTTTCCTGTGTACAGCTAAGAAATCTTTTTTTCCAACTTGGTTCCTAGTAATTCAAAATTTCCTGAGTGCTCTTCTCATTAGCAAATGTATGTTTTTGCGAGCTTGTGGCTCTTTACTTTAGCAAACTAAAATACCTCTGTATGCTGAGTTGTAAATGTATATAATCTGTCAAATGTCATATCTTCTCATGTATGATACAGTATTTATATTTACTGTTCTGATTTTGTAGTCCCTTTTTCAGCCCTTGATGGTAACTTCTTTTTCTGTAGCGATACACAGCTGTTTATTCTCTGTTCAGAATTTCTGCTAACACCTTCTTTTAGACGCTTTTCTTTGTAGACTCATGCACTATTGGGGTAGGCAGTGATGCTATTATTTTTCTTCTTCTCCTCCAATCTAATTTTCACTTTATTTTCTTGTAGTTTTAGTCCTGAGAAGAGTCTCCCATGTAATCCAATAAATCGGATGCGTTTATGAGTTAGATGAGTTAGTATGTCCACAGAACCAAGCACACACAATGTGCTGAGTGGCAGTACTACACAGTCAAAGAGGAGAAGCTTTGTAGACTTTCTTTTGCTCTTTTTGCAGAAACAAAGAGCATTGGTTAATGGATTCTGGCAACCCCTTTATAAACACCAAGGAGGTGACTGCAAGCCATGTTTCTTCCAGTTAACCATTATTTTCATTTATACTTTGTGCTTATTTGGCGCTTCAAAAGTATAAAAGAAAAATTGCCAAATAACTTACTGCAAATAAAAAATGCTTGAAGTTTTTTCTTAGTTCTGCCCTGAAACTTCCATTTTTTAATTTTTTATTTAAAATCTAATACTTCAAAACTTAGGATTTAAATGTTAAATCTGTTCTAATAGAGCTGTTATTTGCAAATGTCAAGGTTTTGCCAACGTGTTATCAAACTGTTTATATTCTCTTTATGACTGATAAACTCCCAATTTCCTTACGTATGTCCAAGTTTAGAGAATGCTAATATAACCTTAAAATAATGTATCGATCTGTCTTGTCAATGCATATTGTTCTATTTTTAAAAATTTGCTGTATAGAGCTTTTGGAAGAGTCTTTTCTGTGACCTGAAAGCTACGAGATCCATAGGCTGGCCCTTCTGTCACCTATGTCTGACATGTCTGTGTGATGACCTTGTCTTGCTTTTCAAGGTATTCTGCTACTGTTAGAAACAAAATCATACCTCTTACAGCACTTGGGCTTTGGCTTGGTGGGCTCACAGTTTTTATGAGCAAAATCAGAGTTGGAAAAGGCAGCCTCCACCTGAAGAGTTGGTATCGGATTTTTTTCCTTTTTTTTTTCCTTTCTTTTTTTTTTTTCCTTGAAGTTCGCCTGGCACATTATAGGAAAGCTAAGATACTGTGTCAAGGGCTACTTGAGATGGAGTAGGCAGATAGAATGGAAGGGAGCCCAAAGGAACTCACTGCTCCAGAAATACTTTAGAGATCATTGATCCAGGCTGTTTTCTTCTTTAAGATGTTTGTGAACTGTGATACTGACCTTTCGTTGTAAGTCTTGAAGGACAATTGTTAGGCTTGTTTTTGCCAGCCGTTCGTGTGATACTGGCTGTAGTGTCCTAGTAGGGAAGCCAGTGGTACATCAGATGATCCAGAGCTGCTCATTCCAAATGTTGTTTTGTTCAGAGGGAAACTTGGAACAGAAGTTATCGAATGGTCTTTGTTATAAAAATGTCAGGAATGCCAGTTCTGTTTTTAATAAGTGTACAAATATAATTTGTGTCTGTGACTTTTCCTGCCAGATTTACCAGGAAAGATACACTAAGGTGGATAAAGGTCCCTTTTTTTTTTCTTTTTTTTTTTTTTTTTTTTAAAATCACCTTCAAGTACTGAAATGCCAGGTCAACCTAAGTACTCCTCCAGTATTAGTATCTGGACAAATGATGTTTCAACACTTCAACTGTTACAGAAAGATAAGGCCAAAGCCCTGAAACCCAGATGAATTCAGTACAAAACAGTGCTTGAGAACCAGATGTATTGAGCAAGTGCATTCAGAGAGTTCAGCAGTAAATATTAAGGCTGTGTGTAAAATGCAATGTCTAGCTCATGTTGCAGAACCTGAGAATAATGTTAGGCTTGCGCTGTGTGTTGCAGTGCTTTGTACCTGCCCTCCTTAGAAACAATGCTCACGTTAGCTGTGGTTTTTGTATTGTGTTTGTATACAGACGCTGAGTGTGAGCAACCATAAAATGCTCTTGAAAATTTGCGTATTTGTATTGTGTAAAAGAAGCATTTTGTATTTTCCGATCTGTTTGCTCTCCTCTGAAATTACAGCTTTAGTTCCCTTTTCTCATATTTATATCTGTTGTATTGTGTTGTTCCACTTAACTTTTATTCTTCCAGAACACTTTCCCTCCTTATTTAAGGCTCACAAACTTGTCCAAGAATTTGTTTTAGTCATTGTTATTCATGTAGATGTAGTCAACAGCAATATAGGTGTCATGTTCTGAGTTATTATCCAGCCATGTTGTATTTATGTCGTACTTCGTTTATTTTTGCAACGCATGCCAGCCAAGGGGAGCAGTATTTGTCATACTGCTCCTTCTTAAGCACCATATCTCCAGAGCCTAAACTTTTATATACTGTGTCTCCAGATGTAAATGACTCTGTGCGGTTTGTCTCAACAAAGCTATTGCATTTGAAGTAGCTCCATGAAATACTACCTGGGCCTCCAAGTATTAGCCCACCCTTTAATTTTCCATCCTATAACTCTGTTTTACAAGATGAAGAGATGTTAGCTCAGTAGTTCTTAAAAATCTTCATTTAAATGTCTTATGTTTAAGAGCGCAGTTGCTTCTTTCCAACTACCAGAATGGATTAAATTTGAAATGGGAAATTCTGTTTTGTATTCACCTGTATTGTGTCTTTATATTTGGATAGAGTACCTACAGCGGGACCGTGTATTAGTAAAGAAACAGAGTATGAAAACTTAATGTCCATGGATGATATTCTTAAATAGGACTAAAGCTCAAAAACATATTTTATCTGTGCTGTGATGGAAGCAGCATTTGATATGATTGCATTACACACCAGCTCCCTCAACTCCCGCTTATGTACAACAGTCGGGTGGGGCTTGCTGGGAAGGGATGTTAATGCAGGAGAAGCCAAGCTTTGCCCACTTATCTGGCGTCAGAGGGCAGTGTTAATCCTGAGTCAAAGTAGATCTCAATGCTTTGTTGTGTTTAAATGTTTTCAAAGACCTGGTGACTGTATGTCCCAGCTTGATTGTCCAGGAACCTTCTGTATAAAGCTCCGTGAGTTGTGTTGGGTCTCAAACACCACTTCCATCTCCTCTCAACCAGCATATTTGCTTTGAAAATTGATTTTTTAATTGTGAGTCAGCTCTTACTTGCTTGATATTTCTGTAGCCATCATATTCTGATGGCAGACAAGAAATTTCATACGGTCTCTAGAGTGAAAGTAAGTATGGGGCTTCTCTTTAAACAAACTTCTAAATTTAAAACTTAATGCCAGAAGAGTACCTTTAGGTTTGCTTATAATGTAGTACCATTTTTTGTTGGGACTGGCAGAAGATATGCCAAAACTTTGCCTGTTTCAAGAAGTCACAGTGTTTTCAATTGTTAATGGCTTATATAAAAAGAGAAATCCTTTAAGTGTAAAGGATAGAGATTAATGGAAAAAATGTGGTTTCATTCATATTGCTTCACCTCATTCATTGTTCTCTAAAGAAGTGTTGCCTGCTTGCCTTCCTCTTGTTTTAGCTGTAGATTATTCTTAGCACCATCAACTTGATCCACTCTTTTCTTCTTTCTCCAGCATTGCCATGGCAACTAAAGAAAATATGACTTCGCAGAGAGGAATGTTGAAGTCAATACAAAGCAAGATGAATACCTTGGCTAGTATCCTTTCCTAAAACTATGTTCCCAGTGGATAAGAAGAGGTATTAGTACAATTTTTTACTCTGTCATTTGGAGATCAAAATGCTTTGCAATGTCAATGGCTGTATAACCTGAAGTAGTATTATCATTAGTGAAAAACAGACCTTTTTTTTAACCAGTCTCACTTCATAATCTGACTGAAGCATCTTAATGGTGAATGTGGTGAAAAAGGTGTTTTTACTCAAATTTGAATACTGCGTATAAACCAACGTAGCTTAATTTTCAGGTAGAGATCTGCAGCGGCATTTTATGGCCTTCCCTGTTACATGTTTTCATAAAAGTATAATTTCATTTTACTTCTTGCATTTTGCTTTCAAGACTGTCCAGAGCTGAAGCTTGCCATACACTGCTTCTTGTTATGGTTTACAGCTAAGAGTATTCATGACCTGAGTATCCTATTGTCTGTCACAGTCTTGTAGATGTTAAGATTTTGGTTTGTTGGTTTCTCCTCATATTCTGTGCTTATGGCTAAAGAATGTGACTGTGAAGTCATGCATGTTTGTTGTTTTCCCACTTATTCCTTCCTTTCTGTCATAAGGGCCCAAAGAACAGCATTAGCATCATTTGATTAGACAGATTACATCCTGAAGAGATGTATCTTGGTAGCCCATAAATTTCATTAGAGATCTTAGCAACTGGCAAGAACAAAAAAAAATTCAATAAGCTTTGGCCTTAAAAGATTCTTGGTTCCAAAGACATGAAGCTCTGAAACTTATTATCTTGTTGGCAATTGTATTTTGTACATTAAAAGATAGATTTACATCTTTATTATTTTACAGTAGGAGGAGTTCTTCCTTGTGTGCTATACTTGAACAGTGTGTAGTCATGCAACGTGTGTCATTTTCTCAGTCAAACGCCTTTAGTTGTTCCCTTCGCCAGTAACAGAATTCCATTAAATAAACTCTACAGGTGTTTTATATAACTGTCCCATTTATTTTTTTCATTCTCCTTTAAACACAATTATTAAATGTAACTAAGCCTCACATATTGGAGATTAAAATATATCAAATGCTGTTAATTTAGGTGATCAGGTGATTAATTCTGTGTAAATGTGAACTCTGAGCTGTTCTGTTCTCTCTTTTCTCTGATTGTCTGTTATTAGTAAAGTACAGTTGTAATCCTGCTAACAATCCATCAGGTTTTTAACTGCACCTGCTTTTTCCAACCTTTTTTGGGGGAGTAGTTCTGCATTTCTTGCAGTATTGGGATTTCCACACAGAGAATTTGGGGCTTGTTATTGAAGATAGTGTTTGCTAATATGACCTTGACTCCGACTCCTTAAAGATCGGTTTCCAGCAGTGAACAGCCTGATTCAAAGGATCAACCTTCGGAAACGACGAGATTCTTTCATCTTGGGTGGCGTTATTGGCATCTGTACCATCTTACTGCTGCTGTATGCTTTTCATTGATGGATGTTCCCCCATGGACTCTGCTAAACTCATCGCCACCATCCCTCCCCCTCAGCCAAGGAAAAGTGAGTGGGGAATGCGACAGACTTCGAACAGCCTGCTCCTTAAGGGCTGGGAGTATCAGCATGATGTCCAGAGCTTATGACGGTAGACTGCGACACTGGGTTTGGGTTGAAGCTGCAGTGTTTCTCCTTCCCTGCCATACATCTTCCTTTGGTTAAATTTGGTGGGATTTGTTTGTCTTTAATTCCCTTTCTCACTGCGAGGTAAGTAAATACGGGACGCTTACCAGAACCTGTAGAACAGTTTCTGTGCTTAGCAGCGCTGGGGACATCTGTTGTTGGCTGGTGAGTGGAAAAAGATTGTTAGGCTTGCCTTGGGTGGAAGCTCTGCAGGAAGCCAGTTTCCCCTGTAGGCCAAGCGCAGTACTGAACACTTCTGCCCTGTGAGAATACTATTGCAGCTTTAAGCCGTCAGGTTGCTTTACTACTAAATACGTGTTCTGTAATTCTTTTTAACTCATGGTTGAGATACTAGTTATTTCTGCATAATTTGTGCTGTGAAAACTCTGCTTCACACGAGTTCCTTAATGTTAAAAAAGGATTGTTCAGTTCACTTTTTGCACAGAATATGAATGAACTGCCCTCTGAGGAAGATTTGTAAGGTTTCTTGTGGCTTTAAAGGGACTAGCGAGTCCCCCTTTGTAAAAAGGGAGCACGGTGTCCTAGCAGCTGTTTACTATAGTGTTCAGTCATCTGAAAAGTGACCAAACATGAGTTCACCTAAAAGTAGTCTTTTGGGTGTAAGTACTTTGATTTTGGCTGGCATCATAAAGGTCTTTTTATAAAGACATGATAAGCAGTTTGAAAAGTCTATATTGTAATTTAGATAAAGTTATTCTGATAGCGTTAATATTTTTACACTGTAAGTAGGATATAATCTAAACTGTCAATTGGAAATGAAAATTATGATGGTTATACCTGAGGCAAAAGTATCTGCGTGCAAAATTTTTGGACATAGCTCCTCATAGTAAAGAGTTGAATGTATGAATAGTGAAACAAGTATTATTTACCATTATCTGGGGGGAAGGAATTTTTTTGGTTCAGACACGCAACAGGAATCCTGTTCTTCACATCTCTAAGCAAAGCTGACGTCAGGAATGGCTTTGATATTGCAGATTCACAAATTACAGATTTTTCTGCCCTTTCAACACCTCTCTTCCATCTGTCATATCATAACCCAATAAATTCAAACTGAGGCACTGAAGTATCTTTTTAAGAACTCGATTAACTCTTTTCACAATCAATTTACACTGCTCCTAACAGATTTCATGTATGCCATTATCCACAAATGTCAAGTGGTCTCCAGGTTCTTTTCCGGAACAGAGTCTAGCGGGACAGACGCAATTTTTTTACTGCTTTTTATAGTGTCTGTGAAGTATCTGTTGGAGGGAGTAGAGACTTGTGCCTGTGTAGTGTGCAAAACCACACTGTTGCGCCTAAACTGTTTGTATGGATCTGAAGGCTTATTTGCAGACTAGTAACTTTGTGCTAAAAGGTCGATGGAGATTTCTAAACAGTCATCTTGTCGTTGGGATTAGAAAGCATTTGGTATTAATAAGTTTAAAACTGTGGGGCTTGTATTTTAAATAAAGGGTGATTATTTGGTTCATTTGAGACTGTTCCTAGTTTGAAATGAAGTGTTCATTAAAAGGGTTTATGAACAAACTTGATGGATAAAGGAGGCTTATTAATGAATCTGTGCGTTGGGAGATCAAACCTCTTCTCCCCAATGCTTTTTCTTTGATTCCACCACCACCCTAAGGGACCCTGATCAGCAGTTAGGCTTCTGTTTAGGATTTGTAGGATATGGTTGCTATATAGTTGGCAATATAAGATCTGCAGTACCGTAAATAAATTCATTTATTTAATCTTACAACCAGTCGTCTTACTGGACTTAATTGATTATTTGGTGCATATATTTAATCTTGTGTGAAAAGCTGCTATGGAAAATATGTAGATTATAATAAATATGTAAACATAATTGATTTTTCATTTTATGAAAATGTTATGGAGGAACTGATATATTTTAGTATAAAATAATGGAAATATGCTAAATTATGTCTGATAAAGCTTTACTGGAAATGGTTTCAGTGTTGGCAACCCTTCCATGGTTTTTATTTGTGTTGGCTTTGAGACAGAGTTTTGCGTTGAAAAATACATTTCATTAACCTTGTATCCTCCCCTTCATCATCATCTTGTAGTCCTCTAGCAAGGCGAGCAGGCGTCTGCGTCGCTCTCTGAAGTGGTGTGCCTGCGTATAGCCGAGGGGAAGGACTTGCTCATTCTCCCGACACATCTCTAGTAACATGCGGCTGTAGTAAGGGCAGCGGACTGTAAAATGCAAACAGTGGATAGCAGTATTTAATCTCAAACCCCAAAATATAGGTTTGTATGTCTCCTGTTGCTAAATACGTTCTCTAGGTTTTTCATTCTGTGTGGTTTCTCTTGCTCTAAGGAAAAAAATGTGGTTAAAAATTTCTCATTTCAGCAATTCCTGGCAAAGTTGCAGTTTCGTAACTCAACCAAATAGAATTGTGCTAAGAAAATTACTGCTAAGCCACACAAATGAAGTGAGAAAATCCATAATATTTCTGCAGGGCTCATTTCCCACACATGCAGACTCTTTTTAAATTCCTGCTTTATTCTTGCTAGTACACAAGCACCTATTTTAAACGTGTCCAACAACCCCGTAGCTAGGCCTTAGAACGTCAGGGATCGCGTTGCTAGCTTTTGATGCCACGCTTCACACGGACACGAATATTTTTATCCTTGCTTTTTAGACTATTTTTTTCACATGTTTATCTGATCTTCAAGCGCTGGCTGCTAGAGCAGAGGAATGGCATTCGGGCAACACCCAGTACTGCGCGTTCAGTCAACGCTCTGTCTGAGCCCAGACACAGCCGTAACTTCTCCCCGGCCCTTCACGGGAGGGTGCCTAAGCAAGGGTGGAGGCAGGGCTTTGCTGTCCATGTCTCTGGGACCAAGCAGTGTGATGCTTCTGGCAGTATGAGTTTGACCTTCCAGGGAAGGCACAACACTTTTTATGAACCAATATTGATTTCAGGAGCTTTTTGTTATTGAATTGTGATATAAATTCCTGTTTTTTTTTGGATTCATGACACTAAATGATCAACTGGAATTTTTCACTTGTAGCTTTAGAAATCCTTTCTTTTGGACAGTCTTAAGATTACTGTGAGAAAAAAAGAGTCAGTTCCTCGCTGGATGTTGAAAATGAAAGAGCAAAAGTAGATTTTGAGGTGATGTGAAGTTTTCACATAGCTTGCCGAGAGCTTGTCCTCCGGGGCTGTGTCCTGTGAGGAGCTATGTTCCTGAAGCTCCCCCAAAACTGCTACACCAGGGGCAACGTCTGGCCCACCACTTCTGATGGTGTCGCTCATTTAGTCAGGACTATTTTAACTCTCTACACTTAGCAGCTTGTTTCCCAAGTTCTCTGGATGCATAACCTTTGCCTACTTTTACTCGCAATCAACCCCATCTCAGCATCCCGCTCCCCTTTCAAAGCTTTCATTTGAAACGGGAAGGAGAGGTAACAGCCGTATCAGTTCGGAAGGAGGGAATAATTCCGAAACTCCTTATAACAGTGTTGGATTATGAAATCTTTCAGAGCAGTGGTTCTGTTGAGCAACGTGCAGTACAGGAGACTACAGTGAGAGACATAGGGAGACAAAACTGAGCCATATTCTAAGTGACATCTGCAAGTCCTCTTGGTGCCCTGTATCTCTCCTGTCGACTGGATAGTTGAAACCAGTGTTGATGCTTTCAGTTCTGAACACATAAGTGGCTCTTTGTCTGTCTACTACTGAGTGAGGAAAGCAGTTTAAATAAACATTCCCTCTTCCCTCAAGACAAAAAAACCCCTTTCTCACAAAATATTGTAGTCCAGACCCTTGTAAATGAGTTTCTGATTGCACTTTCTGATTTTTTCCTTTTCATACAGCTTCTTGAAACTTATTTTATTGCAACTGTAATTATTTTTGTTCTCACCTATTGTGCGTTCTCTGTCTGTATTAAAAACAAAAAGCTTTGATATGTAATTTAATAATAAATTAGAGTTCTAAGCAAGGTGCTTGGTTCTTTTCCCATGACAATCTTTGCCTACCTAAACTTCAAGGAAGATGCAGAGAAGACTCATGTTTCTAGTTTGGGATTTTCACTGGGCATACGAACTAATTTGTTCTCTGGTTTTGTACCAAATATCAGGTGTGATGGAGCATTTCCTGACCCAAAGTACTCGGTTTGGCGGGATGTGTTCCACCTGTGCAGACCTGGACTCCCCTTCTCCTGTTCTGTTTCAAGCACCTGTATTGGAAGGGTCTGAATATAGTCATGACTCTTTTTTTCTGCTGTTCTTTGACAGATGGAACAAGGATGGGTTTCTTGACAGGTGAGCTTTAAAAAGTTTTCTATATATCCATTGTATAAAGTATTTAATTCCCAAATGCACACCAAAACCGATGTTGATCTGAAGAGCCTTCTCAGCATAAGGTGCCTCCCCCCTTTTTTAATACACTTCTCAATAGTTTGGTACCTTTTTTTTTCCCCCCTCCTTCTGCACCAAGAAACAAAAATAAGCTGATACTTTGAACATGGTACAAGTGATTGTAAAACTCTTGGCAAAGTTCTGTCGTACCTTGTATTTTTCTAGCCATGCTGTGGTCTGGAACGCCTCCATCCTTGGGTGTTCAAACCAGGCAGCGTCATGCCTGAAGAACCCATCTGTATCTGGTGGTTTTGCAACTGGTGCTAAATCTTTCAATGCCACTCAAATTTATTTCCTCAAACAAGAAAATCTGCCTGGCAGTGGGATACCTGTCCGTTCACATAAGTGAAGAGAGGTAGTTCTCCTCATTTCGGAGCTGTCGTGCTGTATCTCTAATGCTGCTTTAAAGTAGAGGTAGATTTCTGTATCCTTAATGT